TTCCCTTCCACTGAAGCTTAGACGGGAACGTGTAGTTACGAAGGTGTGCATCCAAGTAAGACGACAGGTTATATTTGTAGATTATCTGCACAATATCCGGAACAAACCTTCTTTCACGAACACTTCCAACATTTTCCGTTTGCAAATGAAGGAATGAATATTGTCTTCTTGTGAAGATCTGCTTAGTTAAGAGAGACTGTTCCATCAGAACAATCTTTCCCAGAAATATTAGCTTCCTCTTATCAATAGCTGCAGAAATTCTAATCAAACCAAGTATAGGCTCAACAATATCTGACCTGGCACGACGATCAGCTCCAAGAATGACCTTAGCAGCGTAATGTTGAAAGCGACTAAGTTTCGCGAGGTCAGTATTACCGAGTTGAACCCAGTGCTCACATCCATATAGAATTAAAGGTAGTATCACTTTCTTATAAAGACTGATTTTTACTAGAGGATTGATATCACATGCTAAGGGACAAATCCCTATGATAGAATGTAGTGTATTTCTCCCTTTGTCACACGCAACCTGGATGCGTTCGGCGTTAGACATTTGTGAGCTTACAATAGTTCCTAGATGAACTTGAGAGGAGGTGGTCTCAAAAGTGACAGGTCCAAGCATCCAACTAGCATCAGGCTGTCTTTGGATGTAATTTCCAATAACAACAGTTTTACACTTTGAGTGATTAAATACGAATTTCCACTCACGACTGTATTCATAGCAAATATTCAGAAGCTTTTGAAGTGAAAGCGGGGAAGTTGTGATCAAGGATATGTCGTCGGCTAACGTCGGATTTCCAGTTAATAAGCATTGGACTTTAGCACCAAGCTTACTATTCTCTAACATGCAAAGAAGGGAATCGATGAATGTTTGGTATAGAAATGTCCACAGTACTCCTTCTTGTCGAACCCCTGACTCAACAGAAAACCAAGGTGACGTCGTTCCCTGCCACGTCACAGCGCTCACCATATCGGTGTAAGACTCGCGAATACACTGGAAGAGTTGTCCATTGACTCCAATATCCTTTACTTTTGCCATTAGCCCTCCGTGCCAAACAGTGTCGAAGGCCTTTTTAATATCGTGAAAGGCTAAATAAACGGTGCTGTTTAACTCAAGGTTATGGTTAATCGTCTCCTGGAGAGAGAAAGACGGCGTCGTACATCCTAAAGATTTGCGGAAACCGTTCTGTTGTGGATTCGGGAAGGGAAGGACTGAAGTCGCCAGGGAGGCCTGTATCCGATTGCTGATGACCTTTTCAAATTTGTAGGAACAACATAATAGGGAAATTGGTCGATAATTAGCGGGATCACACCAAGACTTGTTACCACCTTTGTGAATAGGAAGAATTAAACCTCTTTTCCATATACCAGGTACGTGAGCATGTTTGATACATTTGGTGTACAGCTTTTGTAAACATAGTATCAGGGTTCGTCCTCCATAACGTAGATGTTCATTGCGAACGCCATCGGTTCCGGGTTCTTTATTTAACTTAAGTTTTCTTAGGGCACATTCAATTTCATTAAACACGATTTTCCGATTTAGTTCATTCGTATCCGAAACAGACATGGGGTCAGTTGTAATTTAACAATTTATCAAGTCCGATGCACCAGTGTCACATTTAAAAACGTTCCAGATATAGTTTTTGAATGCTTCCGCAATATCTTCAGGTGACCTAAGTAACTCGCCCTGAACTTTTATGGTTGAAAATCTAGTGTAGGACGTTCCTTTTAATTTCTTCAAAGCCTGCCAGAATGTTGCATTATCACAATCCGCTGCGTCGTTCAAGTTCTGATATAGGGATTGCTGATGTTCCTCATATGCTCTACTTTGAATCGTTTTGAAGTGACGTTTAGCGCTTTTATATTGGCGATAGGTTGGATAATGAGAGCCTCGTGGTTTACCGTCAGGTATCCATTCCTTTCGTCGATCACGTACACACTTGTGCGCTTCTCTCACTGCTTTCGTCCACCATGGTTTTGATGATGATGAATGTCAAGTTCATCCAGATATGGTTTTTTTCATGGAAACGATGAGTTGACAATAACGGAAATCGAAACCTGTCTCGGAAATTGTACATACTATATTGGTCTTTCGCTATATGACCAGAGGTGTTCACAGAGAGGAAGTTATCCTCTAGCAACTACGCATAGGCCATACTTACATTACACATGCTTACTCTGTGACCAGCCATTTATGGTCAAGCATTTTATGATTGGATGCGTCGATTTTAAACAAAAGCGTGAAAAACTCCATACTGTAGCAGCTATAAAAATAAGCCCGATGCAGTTTTGTGCCATGGATTTATGATTGTTAATATTTCGTTTATCAATCTGTACAAAAGGATTCAAAATTATATTGTACAACCATTTCCTTTGTTATTGATGTTTTTATGTATTTTAAATATTTTGTCTTTGGTTTAAGTTTAGTGTATTCCATTGTGAACGTCTGTAGTTTACTGTTGTCTCGTGCTAAATGACTTACATTGTCAATTGGCTGTAAAACAAAACAAAACAAACAAATATTTGTGTGGTACCAACTTACAAATAATAATTCGGCACGAAAGGATTATAATTACTCGGATCTTGTGCTTCATGAATAAGAGAACGGAGGAGGTGACCGAAGGGTATTGTCTGTTTGTACAAGGAAGTCGTAACTATAATATTACCACGGCACAAGATTAGATAGTATAAGTATGTACTAACATTTACACTTATGTACTTACGAAGTTATATAGATACACTTGTCATTTTCCTTACTAGATTTCCTTCCTGTTGCTCATTTTCCTTTGCCAATGGTCAAACTGTTTTGTTATGTTACAATGTATCAACATGTATATTGTCGTTTTCACAAAAGGTGTACACTTATTGAGAGAGGTCTCGTACAAGCTGCTGTAAATTTTGTCCAATCATGTCACTTAGTGTTTGAAATCCGTTTACCTTAAACTATACCTAAACAATGATTGTTTCGACGGTGGCTTATGATAAAACATACAATAACGATTTGTATCACACACTTGCCTTTGATGAAAGCATTTTTGCATATATGTAATATGTAAGTGTCGTTTGTGTTATCATATCCGGGCAGATAAAAAGCGCCCCCCGTTGAATCCGGGCGATACAAGTCATGTTTATTTTCTTGAAATTAAATCTCGGAAAACTGAAATAAGCGCCCGCCTAGGATTACATAAACGATTCAGTTATTGATTTTTTTCTTAATCAAATTTGTGATATTGTTGAATTAATTCATCTTTTTTTCTGTGTCTTTACTTTCTAAAGCGCGCCAAAAAAGCGACAAGACTGTTCTGATAGCATTCCAATCATCTGTCTTCCCTTGATTTGATATAAGGACCTTGAGCACATGAAAGGTGTGTTTATCAAAAGAGTCGTGTTCTAACCTGTAATAATTAATTCACTGTATATATAACTTAATCGGAAATCAGTATACGGTTCAATTCACTCGGACGTGTAGTTGAACTGTAAGAGATGTGCAAAGATGATCATAATGATTGCCGCCATTCCGTGGGCGACCCGCCCGCTACGCGTCTCGGTGAATTTTAACTTATTCTTTAGCGTTCCCTTAGATCAGAGATGTATATATACGTTTCTGCTTAGATTAACCCTTCCGCCTGGTATATTCCAGAGGCGTTTCTAGGATATTTGAAAGAGGACGTAGAATAAAAACATTTCTAAAAAAAAAATTGGACCTTTTTTATGGTTAAAAAAAATAAAATAATTGTGAAATGCACTAATGTAACGGTTCCTGACTTGGAGGATGTATATTTTATAGTTTAAGTGTCAGGGTGTTTATGTGTTTAATTAATGAATATGATAAATTGCCGTATTCAATACAATATTAGCAGATAACGACATTTTTTATTTATTTTTTTAAAGGGGGGGGGGGGGGGGGGGGCGTACGCCCATTACGCCCCCACCTGGACCCGCCCCTGTATTCTATTTAACATGTTATAACATGGGGCAAAGAAGTAATTCCAACAGTGTGGACAAGTTTAGGTTGTCAAATTTTCGGAGCGATCCGCTCCTTTTTCAAGACACAGTGAAACAGAACAGTTACATGTACATATACATCATATTACAAGAAGATATAATTGATATACTATAATTGAAAATAGAGCTATTATATAAAACCAATAGTCCCTCGGCTAGAGACAGCCGAAGGCAGCAATTAAGCTGAGAGCATCGCGGACAAGAAACGCTGATGTAGAGGACCTATTCTTGCGCAAGATTCACTGTCATATAAAGTGAGTCAACGAGAGATATCAAAAAACGTGGAACATGTGCATTTGGAAATCTGGCCCGGTAAATGTGAAAAATCTCCAATCTGCTACGGAATGTCTCAATACTGCGATGGATCTAAGTCACAACAGGTGTTATAACACATATGCAGGATATGTGAATGATGAAATACTGTAAGGAAGGTGATAGCAGTGATATAAGATAAAGTGCAAACATTTATGTTATTGACACTATTAATCCATTGTCTCGCTGCCTCCCCGAAAAAAAATCGGACTTTAGCAAAACTAATATTAGTCTTGCTAAAGTCAATTAGGCCTAATGACTATTTGTTACATTTAGGGGTCGAATGATCGTTTCATTTAGCAATCCATCCGTCAATATTCCATTCCTATGCTTCTTATTGTTTATATGTAAACAGCCAAAAGACTTAAGCCTTGATGACTTCGCACATCAGTAAAATCGGTATGAATGGTTATTGCGTCTGCAAAATGTTACCATTCGCAGGTCCCTGTGGGATGAAACATGTGTTCGTGTAATGCAGGTTAAGAGGCAGCGCACCTTTTAAATCCCAAAATGATATGACTACAATACATATGATATTTTATACACGTTTGCACTTTAATCACATCAATACATAAAATAATACAATTCAAATAGAATCTCGCACATCAACAAGCCGTCAGCTGTGTTTACATATAACCGGAAATAGAATTCCGGAAGGAAGAAGAGAACAGCGCATTGTGGGAAATTACCTATATTCACGTCTAACCACACGACTAACAAAAACAGACGAAGAAAATATCGTTCTGTCCGAAGAATGAAGACTTCATACTCCGAGAACACGAGGAAATGGAAGACTTAGGATCTACCTATATACCCGTGTGTAAATATACACAATATTAGGCCGAAATGGTAATCTATGTTTGGTTTAACACAACAGGTATCGGTGTCTCTGTTTCCTTTCCAGTGGCCTAAATTTTCGTCCGTCTGGGACTGAGTGCCCTACTGTCTAGACGGATGAGATTATGTAGGGCGATTTGCAATCAACAGATCAGTCTGATAGCCCCGGGCCAGACTGATCGGTCGACATAGGTAGGGCGTTTTAGGTGTGGCGGTGTATTGATTTTCTAACGAGGACTGTATCGATCAATTACTCACTGATTCACTGTTTAATTTGACGACTTCGTGAACATGTGTGTGTGTGAACTATCCCATTCAGACAATGGGAAGTTCATGCATGTTTGCCTGTAAGAGATAAAATGTCACACATTCCAACGTTTAGATTTAAAGTTACATTTCTTATCAGACCAGTTCGAAATTTGTCTTCAGTATTGTAATTAATGTGACATTTTGAAGAAACAGGTCATTGTGTAGTACTCCTAGAAGTATACATCATTGTTCACGTCATATTTGCCATTTCACTGTCTCTCTCACCGTATGTGATGCGAAGGCTGAACGCAGTCGCGTAATCTATAAAAAAACATTGGAAATACTACTGTATGTAATAGATACTAAATACTAATTGAGCAGACATGTACATTACATCCAACTATTTAACGACACTAACAGAAATGTTGCTGAAGGAATAGTTCATTCTGTACTTATCTAAAGACAAAATATATTCTGTATACAGAATATAGTATAATATGCCAATCCAACGACATGTGATCATGATTAAAGCCAGATGTTTCAGTACCTAATGAAGACATAATATTTAAATATTTAAATATAAAGGTATTTAGATATTTATATTTAGATATAAATATTTTTATAAATATTTTAGTAACTTTTATACTTTCAATTACTGAAAACTTTATGAGTGTTGGATTGAGTTAACTCATTCACCCCTGAAGACACATTTGAACTCTTCCAAATCATAGGTTGGAATAGTTCATTATGAAATTTCAGGGGTGAATGAGTTAAACCAATACTGCAGGTGAAATTTTAGGAAACGTTCATCAATTCATAAATTTAATTATTGTTTATATATGTCTGCTTATAGAATTATTGTTAATTCACCAATTTCATTAAATATAGTTTACAATATATCAAAAACTAGCAGACAGACAGTGACTTAAAAATTTAAAGTCCAGGACATGCATGTGTAAAAATGTTGATGACCGTCAATAGTTATAAAGGATATTGCATGAGTTTCCATTTCATATGAGATTTATAAACAGGGTCCAAGAAATTTTCATTTTGCAAGCTAAAATGAAAAATTTGTGATAAGTTTCATAAATTTAATGAAATGAAAGCTAGTGTAAGATCCTTTTTATCACATAATCAAAATTTGTGGCTTTTATTCGTGTAAAACAACAATTTTCATGCAACCTTGAAATGTCAAAAGCCATCTGTACGTGATGTCATGTACTTGTCCTAGGTATGACGTCACAATTGAAATAATTGAAACTTACAACCAATCACAGGGCTGATAGGTCATATTACATATGAACAAATACATGGACCAAATCCTAGATACACCTACTGGTATAATAGTTAAATAATCCACAAACTATGTATACAGTTTAATGTTTATGATACTTCATGTTTGTTTGGGTGTTTTTTTACATCTGTAATTTACTACCGAGTTGTTCGAGTATCCAGCAGATGATTTGAGATCATTGGTTGGTTGGTTTGCATTTTCTTTCATCGTCTTTCACCGACTTGAGTCTTTGTTAAGTCAGTGTGAGGGGTTTAGCAAGTGGCCTTTACTCGCCTTCAAGGGGATTCTAAAGCCCTAGCCCAAGGCTTGTCATCTCCCTGTGGTCTGATAGGCGTGGTCTGTTGTCCATTGATCTAGATCCGATGTTTATGTGTGGTTCCCGTGGTACTTCGATGATGCACAATCATTACAATCATGAATCTGGGGCTGAACATTGACCTATGTTGTGAATAGTAGTGTTTCCCACAAGCCCGATGAGCTTGACACCGTGCAATGCCCTTTTTAGCCCATCATCATCTGATGGTGGGCTATTCAAATCACCCTGCGTCCGTCCGTCCTTAAACAATTCTTGTTATCAGTATTTCTCAAGAAGGACCAAGGGGATTTTTCTCAAATTTTTATATGTAGGTTCCCGTTGGTCCTTAGCTGTGCAGGGCAACTTTTGAGACTGATCGGATAAACAACATGGCCGACAGGCAGCCATCTTGGATTTTGATAATGAAAGTTTGTTATTGCTATTTCTCTGGAAGTGATAGAGAGATCTTTCTCAAATTTGATATGAAGGTTCCCCTTGGTCCTGAGCTGTGCAGGGCTACTTTTGAGACTAATCGGATAAACAACATCGCCGACAGGCAGCCATCTTTGATTTTGATGGTGAAAATTTGTTATCACTATTTTTCGGGAAGTACCAGAGGGATCTTTCTCAAATTTGATATGTAGGTTCCCCTTGGACCTGAGCTGTGGAAGGCAACTTTTGAGACTGATCGGATAAACAACATGGCCGACAGACAGCCATCTTTGATTTTGATAATGAAAGTTTGTTATCACTATTTCTCAGGAAGTACCAAAGGGATCTTTCTCTAGATGTTTTCTCATTATTGACGGAAGTATCTAGAATGTGGAGGGTGGGTTAAAACTGCAATTAAGGAATAATAGTTTGATCGACCACCAGGTCAAATATTTTTGTTTTGGCACATCATGTTTTGGCACATGGTATAGGTTATATATATCAATTAAGTTATAAATTAGCGATTGGTGGCCAGGTCGCGATTATATAATAAGATTGTTATCATAGTAATATCATGATAATACACATGTGTCTGTCAGCGATGTGACAGTAACATTCCACACTCCGTGTACTGTTAGGATATTATACATGGTCGGGGCCTAAAGATGTTTGACTGGTTCATGTTTACAGGAAAGATACTCAATCACCAATAGCATGTAGTGTATTTATGTGCAAATTGTCCGACATCGATGACAACAATATTAATGGTCGCACTTCATGAGTACTACCTGCTATTCAGTAGTTAAACGCTGTCAATGCGAAAATAAATAAGTTTAAGCAAGTTTTGCGTGACTATTATTGCAATGCCGATAGCCAACCTCGATAAAAAATGTAAATAATTTCAGTACTCAAATGGTGTGTAGGAGCAATCCGAAACGTTGTAACTTTAAGCAGGGTTCAAACTATCACTAGACAGACAATTATTATTTGTATTATTCAAAAAGTATGTTCAAATTATCCACCTATTTTAACTGACCAAAGGTTTACTGTATATTTTTGACCAATCACACAGGCCTACAACTTTTCATATTTTCCCTGATGAAGCCCTACTATTGGGCATTGTTCTCTTCTCATGTGCATACTGTTCCCTCCAACTATATATGTAGCTGCTGTCTGTTGTCTTAAATGTAGGGCCTTTTACCCCAGGTCGTTGGACTGACCATTATAACCTACTTTTGAATTTCAACTATATACTTCTATACCCAGTGATTTTTTTGCTCATGCAATTTTACAGCCAAATACAGGCTGTTTCCCCTAGCTAAAAATGTCTTATTTTCCAAATGACCAAAGACTGAGGAATATATTCCCAATTTCAATAAGAATAATTCTGTATTTTCCCAGTTCATAAAGGAACAGGCTGATGTAAAATTTAGGTAACAAATTTAAGAAACTGATACGTACATGTGTTGAACAATTTGGTTTATACACTGGTATAATTATTAATAAAAAAAATGAGGTTCTTATACATGTAGGTCATCTCAAAGCGGTTCACAAGTTATTATCCGTGGTTATAGGACCTAAATGCAACCAGCCAATATCTTTATCAGCTCCCTGGGGAGCATACAGCCAGTGCTGCCATTTCGGCGCTCACAGCTAGCTTTCTGCAAATCTAGCACTGCCCAACCACATACTCATTTACAGCTGAGTAGACAGGAACAAATGGAGTAAAGTGTCTTGTTCAAAGATACAACACGGTGTCGTGCCGTGTCGTGCCATGACTCGAACCTGCAACCCTTTGGTCACCAGCCCGGCGTCCTCACCACTAGACTACCGTGCCTCCTATATACATGTGTGTATAAATACATATGTATATGGCATTCGTCTAAATATCTAGTTTTGTTGTCCATTTGGATCAGGACTATGGACTTGGTGTTGACACTAATTGATAGCACATGTATATATACCCAAACATCTAAATCAATTTAATGGGTCAGTCAATTGTCATACAGCCTTTTATAATATGGGGTCAAACAGAGTCAGTGGTGGTTAGCCATGTTGCTCGGCAGTTATTTAGTCCCCAAAATGAAGTCTCAGGGACTTGATGTTTTTGCTCCATTTCTTTAACTCTCTTCCACCGGTGTGGTTTCTGCCACTTTTCGCGAAAATTATTGGGCATAATTTTACGAAACTCAACAGGAATGTTGGTAAGTGGAAGTTGGTGTGCGAATGACTTTCCTTTGTTTAGAGTCCACCAACATGGCCATCAGGGCCTTTGAATTCATGCCAACTTTTAATCAATATGAAAATTAAGAGGGGCCATTCTATGTAAAATTAAAAGAAAATTGGAACATGGAGGGTCATTTTCAGTTTTGAGGGGTCAATGGCCCCCTGGCCCCCTGGCCCCCTCCAGGATTATCCCTGAATGTTGGTTGTCAAAAGGCCCAGTATATATGTAGTTGATGGTAATTGTAATTTATATATTCAAACTAACCCTGCAATACTGGGTACTACCCATTTTTGTGTACCGGTATTTTCATGCAAATCATTCAACTATGAATATTTTGGGTGCAATACTGCCTCATTATATACTATATGATACATGGAAGTACATTGCACAGACAGGTATAGTGATAATGAGATATACGGTATACATAATGTAAAACTGATATAATATATCCTGTTACACTGGTACATATTTAAGTAGTTCAAGTTCGGTGGATATTTATTTATACTCTGTGACCTTTTGAGAAAAACTAGCTTCCCTCTAATGGCTGTAAATTAAATGAGCTGTCTCTACGATTACGTAATCATGGAGTGACTCCTATAAAATACTCCAATGTGTGATTGTCTGGCTACTGGTGCTATTGGCATTTAAGTTATTCAGTTTTCCTGTCTCAGTAGTTTTAGATTTCATACACATTACGGTATATACAACATGTATTCAAAGAAACTGGAGCTGAATACGTAATATTATACATTCCTTGAAATATACCTGGGGTCCTGCATGTTAATGGACAATTATCCATGTGTGCTGACGTTAATCCTGTACCTATGTTATCCTATACCTTTCGTACATAAAATTGTATTAACATATATACAGGTTTCTAGTGTTTCTGTACAATTTTTGTAAAGTAGATTTCATAATCAACAAACTCCCACACCTGCGCACCCAAGTCATTCATCCTAGAGACCTGGACACATTTTTCTCTGCATTAGATTTGTGTCCCAGGACATGTATAGTTGTCTGTATGGATACATATATATGTTATGTGCAGCTTGGCTGCATTTAATTGACACAACAGGGGTACTTTTGACAGGCGCTGTGTCACCGTCAGCATAATCATATCGGACAAGAAATAGCCGACCAGCAGCCTCTCGGGTATAAGTGTTGGATATGTGCATAAATCATTACACACAATTACTGTCCTTCTATATTACCGGGTAGTGTTAAAGGGGCTGGTTGGGAGAAAAATGTCATATTTGCTAAAATGGCATACTAATGTTTAAAATACCTTCTTATGAAATATACCGATACAAATTTTGTTGAAATTCACTCCCTAAGAGTAAAAATTATAATTATATTAAAGAAATCCTAAATCGTCACCTGACAGTCTAAAACTCTCAATTGACCCAGATCAGTGATGTAATTTTACTGCACGCGCGTCATCAACAAGGCCAAATGTAAACATCGCGGCAAAAGAAAAAGATGCATGCAAAAGTCATGACAGGCACGAGGTATCAATACCGTTATACAATTGTATATAACAACAACATATAGGTAGGAATACTACACTTGCATCATACATGACTTTTGAAAGCAATTATTTACGTATACTATTGCTGTCTTGTCCGGTAGTTGAGTCCGACATGGCACATGACGGCGTGCTATTGTTGTTATCTTAACTGCCCCCCCGACCAGCCCCTTTAAAGATTTAAAGAACACTTTTCTGAAAAAAACAAACATTAATATATATTCACATTTCCAATGCAAGTTTCTCTATAAACATCACCAAGAGAATTGCGTTAACGTTCATAGAGCCATGAACGTAAAATTTCAATCAACATCATTTTGAAGCTTCTCCTCACGCCTTGATTAACACGATTCATGACAACCGATAGCATAAAACATTTTGGTGATGTAAGGCTGTTCCAGCAATCTTGTTTGTGTTGACAAACAGACACTTCAATATTTTTTCAGTGTTCATGTAGGTATGAATGCATATTTACCATGGGTTTATATCAGTATGAAATTGAAAAAAATGCCATTTAATCCTAATATGATCATTGATATTAGCCGTTACTATAAATAATACACAGCAGTGTTTTAAAATTTGGCAATATACATTGTGAAAACTAGCACAATCACTATATCCCAATTCAATATCAACAATTTATTTGTTTAGTATCATGTAAATATTCGAAATCACAACCTTAATAAGTTATATCATATATTCTAACTTGATTCGTTTGCAACGCGGGTTTTGATTGGATACGGATCATGTTCTAATCTGTGATAGAATCATGATCAATCGTGTTAAGCTCCGCCCATCGCACTTAAGCCACACCCTGTTTCTAACAAAAGCAATATGGCGTCAAGCTCGCCTCTTAACGAAACCCAACACTCTGCTGTACATCTTTGTATTATTAATGACACATGGGAATGTATTTGTAGAATAGATTAAAAATAAATATAAATATTCCTTGTTCTTACCTCCATTTATTACTAAAAACGTTCGTTCCATCCGTGTCTAGGCATCTAGTTCGATCCGAGATCAAAGGAAACATTTCACATGTGTTGTACAAATTTTGCGCTAAACTCTTCACAGATGTTAAAACAAATAATCACTGATTTTGTCGATAAACACAGATTGGCATGCATGCTGACATGGAAAGGTTTGAATTTGTTCAATGCTAATCCAAATGTGTCGTATAAACTTTGGCAACAGAATGTTCACGAACAATCCAAATATTCCGCCTCGTCAACATACAGATCGAGCGCTCGCCAGTATGGGCGGGGCCAAATGACCCAACTTTTGAAAGCTTCTTTCTGATTGGTCACAGTCCGCTGCAGAATGACACGTCACCAGAACAGGGCACAGCATACTTTACTATGTACTTGTAGCATTGTAATTCAATGTTTCTAAACATATTAGCGTAATATATTTCTTAAGGTGTGTTAGAATGGGGATAGAACTTTGTTTTTCGTGTCTATACTAGTACTGGCGATTAGAACATGAAATTTGGTTTCAAACTCTCGACCTATGTCAGTGTCGAGTTTAAACCAAATTTCATGTTCTGATTGCTAGTATAGCCACTCAAAACATTGTGCTTTCCCCTAAGTATATAATTGCATTTGAGTCCCATACATCTAGTTGTCCATACTTTATATCTTAAAGAAGTATTGCAAATCAGTGTTTTAAAAGTGGTAAAAGAAATACAGTCAGTATCAATCAATTTGTAAAATTGAAAGAGTTCAATGGAATTTAAATAAGATAAACCTTGGAAGAATACATACTTTAGACAGATTTTACTATTCACTATTCCGTCTTTGCGTATTGCAGAGTTATCTTCTTTTGGGAGCAGGTATTGATTGTTACGTCATTGGTTTGTGTGAGAAAATTACGTCGTTTTCTCAAAAAATGATGACGTTACTCTCACAAACAAGTAACGTAACAATCGATACCTGCTCCCAAGAGAAGATAACTCTGCAATATGCAAAGACGGAATATATGTATTAGGAGTACATTGTCCATTATTTTCCTACAAGTAATTTCATTTTTTTTGTCTTTACAGAATTCCTATTTTTAACCCTGCTCTTTGGGACCAGAGCTACTGTGTGTTAGTGAAAGCACGATGGGGAGCACATCGTCCAAGTTCCGTAAACACCTAAATAATGGGGACGAAGTGGCGGCCCTGAATCTATACAACAGCCATAGTGATCTGAGGAAAGCCCTGGATCCAAACTGTTCCTATGGTGACTCGCATCAGAATGAAACGCCTCTTCACTACTCTGCACGACATGGCATGAAAAGTTTACTTCGGTAATATGTTCGTCATGATACTGTCTTTTATTTTCATTACCTGATTCAGAAGGGTTCAATGTATGAAAGTTTGCACTTTATTAAAAAAAACGTCTTGAAATATGGGTTTTCAAAGGGATTTTGTTGAAATATTTGCAGTGAAGATATTGATTTTTTTCCGATGAATTGCAGGCCGCAGCTTCCTTAAGTCAAGTTTCCCCAATCATAATTCCCTTATTCAAAGCCTCCAGAAAAATCAGCAAGAGCCACCCCAACTTTCATGTAGTTTAAAATGACAGAAGAATACGACAACAATGGGTCAGATCAATCTGATTGTGTCTGTTATTTAATGTCTTTTTATCTATTTACTTCTTTTTTCCAGCACAAAAAAAATGTATTGCCATCATTGCAGTAGGGAATCTCGATTCTTTGTTTTCCCTCAATTAAACATTTTTCACTCACTCAGGCTTTGCCCTCATTAAACAAGATTAACATTGGAGAAACCGAGAGATGTGTTTCCCTACAGGAAGGGTAATACATGTATCTTATTCTGGGGGAGTTTAGTGGGTAATTGCAATCAAATCTTGCTTGCAGGATATTTTTACGAGAGTTAGGAGGAAACCCCAACAAGACAAATGGCCACAAAGAGACGTGTCTACACTGTGTAGCTATGGAGAAGCCGTGTCACAGCAATTGTTACCCCGTACTACGCAGGCGGGCGGATTGTCTGCAGATGCTACTCAACTGGAGGGGAGCTACTCTAAAGGACGGCGAAGTGGAGAAGATCGACTTGTCTGCTCAGGATGAGGTTTGACCTTTGTCCTTCTGTATATCATTTGTGTTTTCCAGGACAGATCCCTTAAGTAGGTGTAGTAATAAGGAAGATCTGCTATTTAATAGAGGATATCCCATGTATGATTTCACAAAACACGCTTAAGTAAGTTTCGAAAAGTCTAATGGAATGACAAGGGCCGCTTTCGATTATCCTGATCCAAACGGTTGTACCAGTTGGACCAAAGTTGTTCGTAAATGAAATAAGGTCCGACCTATTAATCTGACGGTGTATTCAGGCAAGCCTTGACCAAGCCTTAGCTTGCAAGGCCTGCATAAACTTTTGCAGGTCTGCCAGGATTTATACCCGAAAATATTACATTTAAAAACAGACAAACCGGTTGTTCCGCATAAACGAACAAGCCCAAGGTTCTTCAATGATAATTGATATGATTTTTTCATGTGTAAAATAAAAGTTGTTGTTAGCAAATTAATAAGAAATACAAATGTTATGGCTAAACTATAGACATTTTCACTTTAAAATAAAGAAAATTGGGGGAAAAAATGAACTTCTCGCTACTTTTCTGAGCTAATTAAGGCACTAAAGTACGTACTGCATCACTAAAATTTATTTGTATTTTCAGAATTTGAATACTGCGTTACATTATGCTGCGGCGTCAGGGCTGAAGAGATGTGTCGAGGTAGGTATCATGTTATGTTCCTTCTCTCTACAGTTAAAATGGTTGATTTTTCTGAGTCAATTCTTCCTGCTACTGGCTAATTATCTGATGAAGAAGGTCATGATCAGGAAATAACAAAAATACTTGCTATTTATACTTATTGTGTAAATAATAAAACGTAAAGGAAGTTATTATATTTTGAAAGCTTAAATGATGTATAGAATTCTATCATTGAAATGAAAATGATATCTTTCAGAGTTGAATGACATAAATTATGGGATGACCAATAAAACAATATGTCTGGTTATTTTTTTTCCAATTTTTTGTTCGGATACCTGTAAAGCTACAGTTAAATTAATGGTTGTTTTGATAATCTTGGGTACTTACACTAAATAATTCACCTATTTTGCTAAAAAAAACATCTGGTCAAAAATCTATATATGAAATTAAAGAGTAATCATTGAATGTGCTCTAGATCAAGATCAAGTTATTCATGCCCATATACTATAATACGGCATAGCTCATGTTGGGGGAATGCTGAGTGAGAATAGGTTATAGATCTCTGATTGTTGCTTATCTGTTTAAATCACTTCCAAGATACACCTGAACTACTGAAGATACCATGATAACCAGTGTACACAGGTGCATGAACTCATTCACCCCTGACATTTCATACTGAACTATTCTTACCTTTGAATTGGAAGAGTTCAAATGTGTCTTCAGGGGTGAATGATTTTACACTAGAAGAGGTGTTGTGCATTGTTTCCATGACCTTAACATGTTTTAAAAAGGTCTAAATATATTTCTATATTATGCAGTGAGGCTACAATACTTGCTCATCCATAATTTATTTCCACTTCAGATGCTGGTGGCTCATGGGGCACCCTTGTTCACAGAAAACATAGACCAACTAACACCATGTGATTCTGCAGAGAGAAACTCTCACACAGACATAGCAGTTTACCTGGAATCCAAGATGGTCTTCTCAGATGTGAGTGGCAAGAATATTGAAACAAGTTTTATGATTGATATTTAAGTAACCTACACTACTGTCATGCAACACCATTAAAGGGCCATCATTAAACCATCAAATTTGTGTACCATTAATTATGGTCCTTTCCATGACAATGAAAAAAACATTAATAAACATTTGATGGTCATGAATGTTTAACTTAATGGCCATTAACAGTAAGATCAAAACAATGGCATAAAGGCATTTTGTAATGAGCATGAAAAAAATGGTTTAATGACCATTAAAGATCTATCAATATAATTTCATGGGCATTACAATATATACCTCTCTAAATGTTCATGGCTATAAAACTTGGTTAATGTGCAAATCAAATTTTGATGAGTCCTGATTTTCATAATGCACCATTTTGATGGTCATTATTTTCATAACTCAATATTTTGATGGCCATCATTTTTATAGCATACATTTTCATTGCTTTCGTGATACAACATTTTAATGGTCATTACAATCATGACATCTCAGTTTAAAGGCCATTACTTTCATTAAGGCACATTTTAATGGCAATTACATGAAAAATGATTATCATAAAAATGGTACAATACAATTTTTAATGCTCATTAGTTTTTAAATGGCCATGAAATTCTAATAATGCACAAAGAGAAGGAATAATTAATGACTCTGTAATGATTTTATGTGCAATTAATGGCAATTAAATCAAATGTAATGGTACCCATTAAAATTTACTTGTAAAAAAACAATGGTTGTTTTTAATGATTTTGATCATTTCAGTGAATTTTTAATAAAATTTTACAACTTTGTAATTGCTGCAAGCAGAGTAGTGCTAATAGACTGATGTGAATTTTCGACTTCAATTCTTCGAGATGAATATGACATATCCTAGTCCTGTGTTAAGGTGTGGTCAAAAAAATTATAAATAGACTATATGAATTGATTTATTCTGCTTATGATTTAACACAAAATCTTGTAATTGCCACACTAAGATTATAATCATATACTGTAAAATAGTAAAAGAGAAAGGCATATTGTATGAATATTCAAATTTTGTTTTAGAGTTTCGTATTGTATGAATATTCAAATTTTGTTTTAGGAACTCTTTAAGTTAATAGGTGATATTGACACATGTTATTTACCTAAAATTATCTGCTGATTACAGAATGATGGTAATGACTTACCTATAGCGGAAATGTTACCTGTCGTGGATTCAGAGGTAAGACACCAGTATGACTGAACACTGATAAATAATGGAAAGAACAGAGGGATTTAACATATTTTTTACAAGGCAAGGGTAGAGCCAACGCCGTGGTTTTCTTAATGGTGGACTAATTTGGTCTTTTGCTCCTCGTCTGGATACCCGAAAGTATGCAGGGGATTGAGTAAAAGTGAGAACATCATAAAACAGATTCAATCACAACAGGCGAAGGAGCAATAAGTTGTTCTTGTAGTTAATTAGAAGTGTCGAACGGTTTCGCCGCTACAGTGGGCTTCTTCAGGACAAAATTATAGGATATTTCTATCCCTGAAGTATTTTTTTACAATATTTAAAGTATTTCAGAATATCAAGAAAGAGTTAAAACAATTATGACTGATTTAGAATATTTTCTCTCTCATATTTATTCTTTCACATGAAAGAAGACCATGTTTATCTCATTCACCCCTGAAATTTCATAATGAACTATTCCAACCTTTGAATTGGAAGAGTTCAAATGTTTCTTAATAGGGATGAATGAGTTAACATGAGGTCTAAAAAGTTTTTAGCCATGATTCCCTACTTACTGATAAATGTAAACATGGATAGTGTTTTATAGTCTTCTTGTACTCTATATGGGGTGTCATTTAAAAAATTTTAATGCTACATGTTAATACAGAAATTGAATTTAAATAATGTTATTTTAGATGAAATGTGGGGTGAGGCAGTTTGTGGGTTGGGGCCATCAGGAAGGCAATTTTTTTAGACCTTCTCCCAGAATTTCTTTCTTTGTCTTCAAAAGCTAAGCTACCGCATATATTTTAAAGATCATTTGACCCATATGTTAATATGAAGAAATTCTCATTAGATCATCAACTTCCCTGCTGTATTGAAACAGCCTTAATGTATTAATTTTACCTAAATTTGCATTGAATACCTCTGATGCATAAATAGCTATAATGTCATTAAAGCCTATTTGTATAATTCTACTTTCAACACGAGATATCTGAACTAAATAATTATTCATTACTTTTCATTGTGCAGTAGTACAGTGGTTTGCAAGATATCTTGAAATAATTTGATTTTGGCTATTCTCCCAAAGGTAGATGTTTTCATGTATTAAGATATTGTATAAATAGTGATGACGTCATATTCTGCAATATTAAGTGCGTCATTTGCAATTTCAACTTCTGATTGGTTGAAGTTGCTTGGCGATGAAATTGCTGCGCAATGTTGAGTTTTGTACATTGTTACTTTTTGTCAGAAATAAATTAATATTCATTACCTACGTTGTCCGTCTTTTTAAATTAAATTATAAGGGGAAACCACAGTTATTATTGGGGTTATATGATATATATACATATATACATACTTTGTGGAGTTATGCAAAGTGCACACATTGTTTTTGGTATATACAGTATAACGCCCAAAATAGTCCTGGTTATTCCCTAAGTAACTTATTACTTTTCATTTTACAGGAGTACAGTGGTTTGCGAGCCCAGGATCTCCAGGAGGCCAAGGACCAACTGCTGGTGGAGACAGCAGACATGCTCAGTGTGCCACTGTTTACTGCCGACGCCCTCTTACGGAACCATGGTAAGCTCTGGCGGAGAATTATCTGGGTCACATTTTTCTTGACATACATCAAAGGATGTGAAGGGGCGCATGATGAGCCATTTGTAATAATTAATTTAAACAGCCTTTACATATTTGCAAGTAACACGTTCTTTACAATTCGAAAACTTGTTCTGAATGTGAAATCCATTAAATTGTTTCACTGTACTCATTGTTCATACTGAATAATATTATAATACTCAATTAAATTTCCTAATATTTACTTTAAAAAATGACAAAAATCTTTTTAAAACATTGGTCTCGATGTGACACTTAGCAGTATATAGCCAGGTACCTGCACTTGTATTGACCCCTCTTGTTTGAATGAACCCGTCCTTAGCATGTGTTTAACGTGTGCGTCCTGTTTGTGCCGAGCAGAGTGGTCGCGTGAGATGCTCCTGGAGGCATGGATGAGCGACCCGTTGGCCTGCTGCGAAAAGTCTGGTGTGACCCCTCCCCCCAGTCTGTTTTCCGAACAACCCCAAGTCCAGGAGTCCTTGACCAGTCCTGTCAGCTCAGAACCTCCTAGTCCTGACACCATGGTAAGATGTCTCCTCCTTATCCCTCCACTCTGACACTTACATTTCTGATGGTATTAAAGTTATTTCCTCCTCATCTTTACATTCTCAGAGTATCCTTTACTGACACCAAGGTATTGAGCTATCTGTACTATCTTGGTTGAGTGTCTTTATTGAGTCGGATATCCTTTATAACTTTAAGCTATTAAGTTTTGGTTTGATGTGTTTATATTCGTGAATGTCTCTTTTAACAGTATTGTTGGCCCTAATTATAAATGACTCACATTGTCGATGGGCCGTTAAAGAATAAAAATTAAAAAAAAATTAAAAAAAATTGATATAAGTCAAATCACTTGGTATAGTGTGGTTATTGAGTCGGTTCTTCTGGATATAGCTTGAATTACTTGGTGTAGTGACTTTATTGACTCTAGTCTGCCGTATAAAACCTGTTGAGTATCTTATACTAGTCTTACCAATATGATTCTACAGTATACTGTATATTGGGACATTTTAGCTGCAGTTTATTTTTTCGCCTTTTTCATCCGCCATAATAAGAGGCAAATTTATCATTACAGCGAATGTTCGTAAAGAACATTATACACATAGTAATTAAATGCGAGAGGCGAAATTAACACTGAGCAAATGTTGATTTTAACCCTTTCACCACTGTAGACCATAATGGACTCGTCCAGATCAACGCATGGTAGAGTCTACTGAAGTTACATAGGGGTGAAAGGGTTAATGGCAAATGGCAAAAGTTTGTCTGGGTGAAAGTTTCTGTATATATACTTCCATAGTTTGGTATATAGTGTTCAGATACATCTCTATCAGAATAGGGTTAGTAACTGTGAGTGGCTCATTTTGTCTGGCACTTACACTTGGGTTTCGTGTAAGATTATAATTTTGTAAAAAGAGAACAAACTGATTGATTTGACATTTTGACAGTTTGTTATAGCAAGTTGATCCTGTGATTATTTAACAAAAGTGCATTTCTATGGTCAGGATTTTTTAGCGAGTGCACATCAAAGTGAATAATTCCTATTGCAGTCTGAACAATGCTTTAATGTTGACAAAGACAATAAAAAAAACTCAGAAGTTGGTTGAAATGGTAGCAGTCTCCCGAGGATCTTCACAGTTTAAGGGATTAAAATGCTTCAAAACGTTTATAAATACGAGTTTAGGTAGGTATGTGCCCCGGAAAGCACGGAGTGGTCTTGCATTATTGACCCTGTTTCCTTATTGTTCCAGTGTGATATTTGTACTCAGTCATTCCTGTTGGAGGAAGAGCCTGTCCACATGGCCTGTAAACACCAGTTCTGTCGCTGCTGCTGGAAAGAGTAAGTATGATGTGCCGATACAGCCTGTAACGTTTATATGTAGGTCTATCCATTTTGTAGCAAAGAATCAAAATCTTTGCTTACTTTATTTCAAACACTAGGACACAAAGTTTGTCTGAAATATAATTTCAATGAGTTTTACATTTAATTGAAATATAAGCCATGAATAAGTCACCTGTCTGATAGAAACGATTCTTAGTCTGTTGGCTTATCATCAATGTTGCACAAAATTTAAACCCAACATATTTGCTAAAGGGAAAAAATCTGGTAAAATTTCTACTCCATGAAGTTCAAATATTATGAAACCAGATGATTTTAGAACCACAGTTATGATTTCAAAATGTAATTAAGTGACTCATTTTCTGACAATTTTACTCGTTAACTTACCTGACAGATACCTGAACTTGAAGATCCAGGAGGGAGACGCCCACCATATTACCTGTCCTGGGTTTCAGTGTGGAAAGCTTGTTCCTGTAGAGATTATAGAGAACATCGTCTCCAGGGAGATGGCACGGCGGTACCTTCAGTTTGACATCAAGGTATTATACCTAACAGAATGCTGTTAGATGTGAAAATATTGCAGAATAACCCCATGGAGAATAATACCACTTCCTCCATTTTGTGTACTGTAATGTATACAGTGAAGAAGGGTTTACTCACTAATTTGCTTGATTCCAACTCCATTTATGGCAAGCATTAATAGATTGTGTGTTTTTCTAAACCCGACAAAGTTTTATAGTTCGATAGGAGGCACGGTAGACTAGTGGTAGGACGCCGGGCTCGTGACCGAAGGGTTGCGTGTTCGAGGCACGGCACAGCACTGTGTTGTATCTTTGAGCAAGATACTTTACTCCGCTTGTTCCAGTCTACTCAGCTGTAAATGAGTATGTAGTTAGGCAGTGCTAGAATTGTAGAATGCTAGCTGTGAGCGCCAAAATGGCAGCACCGGCTGTATGCGCCCCAGGGGGTTGAGAAAGATATTGGCTGGTTGCAAAGGCCCTATAACCGCGGATAACAATTTGTGAACCGCTTTGAGATGACCTACAAAATAGGTTGTGATAAAGCGGTTTATAAGAACCTCAAATTATTATTATTATAGGTAGGTAAGAAAAATAGTTGAAAGAAAGAACAAAAGATAAAATTCAAAATTTAAAATCTCAATAAAAACATATTTTAAGAAGTTTCTATTCCCCTGTTAGTTGGGTTAAGGTAAAAAATGATTTTTTTTTAGGTTAAAGCTGACAGTGCAAGTTAAAAAGCTTTCAATTGAGATAAAAACAAAAAACAAAAAAAAACCAAAAAAAACACCCACACACAAAAACTTAATTATGAACTTGTGGTCTTCGTCATGTAGACGCTTTACTAGCAAAACACATGCGAAATGCGTCGCTACCATGTATGTAGTCAACAATGTGAAATTCGATAATTGAATCGTTCTCATGGAAATTATTGGAATTAGTATTGTTTTCACACAGGAGGTTATAACTAGTTGGAAATCTTAAAGGTAGGCATTAACGTTCGTCGTATATTTGCTTCTTTCAGGGCCGTTTTTTGGGGGAGGGGGCAGGGATCGTGTATTAGATATTTTAATTGGTCATATTTTACTACTATTTCCACTTTTCTTACATAAATGCTATATTTGATGTGTTCCATTTCAATATTATTCAACTGATCTGATACAAAATGTCGGTAAAAAATCATATATATATAGAGGAGTTTCACCATGCGCATATATATTGAACAAATGATAACCGGTTTGACGGGTAATGCTTTTTATACCCAGCGAGACCCATACTCGTTACCAAGCAATGACAAACTAAAATGTCGGCACTTCCTAGTTAGAAACGGTAGAAGGAAGAGAAGGGGAAGATCTCAAAACCAGAAAAAAACACTTTAAAAAAAAAATCTCAATTGAAAGCTTTTTAACTTGAACTGTCAGCGTTAAGCCTTAGTTATATTTCTTGTGAAATAATTTGTGGGTGTATTTTGAAAATAGAATATTGTTTTAACTAAAATATACTGGAATTGTTATCCTCAATGATACACGTACCTTCCAGGCATTTGTAGAAAGTAACCCCAGTATTAAGTGGTGTCCCTTCCCGGGCTGTGGCCGAGCGGTGAGACTGCCAGAACTGGACGGTAACAACCAGACACCGCGACAGCTTCCTGCCGACACTTCACGTGCTGTCGACTGTGGTAACAAGCACTACTTCTGTTGGTGAGCTATTAGTCTTTTTTAAGATTTAAAAATTCTCTGAAACTTGCTCTTCAAAGATGTTTAATACTGAATTCCTGTCTTGTATGAGTCATCACCGGTAGCTTCATTTTATACTACTGAGGACAAAGTATCTTCGAATGTTCCTTATATTTGGTTTTGTAAACAGGAAAGACTTCTACCATGTAAACCAGTTTTGCTATAACCAGCTCACCGAGACTACATATACCTATGAAGTTAACTACTGTAAACCGTGAAATTTTTGCTGCAGTTTAGTTCTCGCCATTTTTGCCCACCTTCATGAGGGCGAATTAATCATTACAGCGAACATTTTTAAACAGCATATTATATATAGTCATTTAATGTGATGGGTTGTGAATTCAATATTGGGCGAAATTGGATTTTACCATCAAAGGGAGAAAATATATCTGCGCGAAAAAAATCTCGGTACACAGTTTTTACTGACTACCTTCCTTGAGTATGAACTTGGGATAAATGTATTCAATTTATTATATCTTTGTTTGAACAACTACACTTTAAGGGTAATACAATGAACACACGCCTGTAATATTTTCAGGGACTGTGGTGGTGAGGCTCACGAGCCATGCAGCTGTGATAACTGGATCAAGTGGTACCAGAAAATAGCTGAAGTGAAACCTGAACAAAGTAAGTCTTCAAGGTCAAATCCAAACAAAGTAATTTAAGGTCATACCCGAACAAATTTTGTGTTCAAGGTCAAACACAAATTAATTATGTCTTCAAGGTCATATTGAACAAAGTATGTCTACAATGTCAAACACAAAGTATGTCTTTAAGGTCAAACACAAACAAAGTAAGTTGTTAAGGTCAAATCCAAACGAAGTAAGTCGTTAAGGTCAAATCCAAACGAAGTAAGTCGTTAAGGTCAAATCCAAACAAAGTAAGTTGTTAAGGTCAAATCCAAACAAAGTAAGTTGTTAAGGTCAAATCCAAACAAAGTAAGTCGTTAAGGTCAAATCCAAACAAAGTAAGTTGTTGAGGTCAAATCCAAACGAAGTAAGTCTTCATTGTCAAATCCAAACAAAGTAAGTTGTTAAGGTCAAATCCAAACGAAGTAAGTCTTCATTGTCAAATCCAAACAAAGTAAGTTGTTAAGGTCAAATCGAAACGAAGTAAGTCTTCATTGTCTAATCCAAACAAAGTAAATCTTTAGGGTCAAATCCAAACGAAGTAAGTCTTCATGGTCAAATCCAAACAAAGTAAGTCTTCATGGTCAAATCCAAACAAAGTAAGTCTTCATTGTCAAATCCAAACAAAGTAAATCTTTAAGGTCAAATCCAAACGAAGTAAGTCTTCATGGTCAAATCCAAACGAAGTAAGTCTTCATGGTCAAATCCAAACAAAATAAGTCTTTAAGGTCAAATCCCCAAAAGATTAGTCTTCAACGTCATACCTGAACAAAGCAAATTTTCAAGGTCACACTTGAACAACGTAAGTCTTTGAGGTCAAACCTAGGCAAAGTGTGTCTTGAAAGCCAAACATAAACAAAGTCATATTTCAAGATCATACCTAAACAAAGGGAGACTTGTAAGGTCAAAACCAATATGTCTTCTAGGTTAAACCCGATCAAAGTATGTTTACAAGGTCAAACAGGATCAGAGTATGTGTAGACATTGGACCTGTAAATGTTGATGTAAAAGGTGAACCAGGTAAGTTTGTTTCAAAGGCAGACCTGAACAAAAGGAGTCTGGAACAAGGTGATGTCTCAAAATCAAATCAGAACCTTAAAAGTTGCAAGGTCAGATCAGAACAATGTAATGTCTCATAATCCAATCGAAACATTGTAAGTCTCAAAGTCAAATCAGAACCTTAAAAGTTGCAAGGTCAGATCAGAACAAGGTACAAGTGAGAGTCTCAAGGTCAGATCAGAACAATGTAATGTCTCATAATCTAATCGAAACATTGTAAGTCTCAAAGTCAAATCAGAACCTTAAAAGTTGCAAGGTCAGATCAGAACAATGTAATGTCTCATAATCTAATTGAAACATTGAAAGTCTCAAGGTCAAATTAAATCAAAACGATGAAAGTCTCAAGGTCAAATCAGAACATTTAAAGTCTCAAGGTTTCAAGGTCAGATCAGAACAAGGTACAGTGAGAGTCTCAAGGTCATATCCAACATTAAAGTCACAAGGTCAGATCAGAACAATGCAATGTCTCATAAAAATCTAATCTGAACATTGAAAGTCTCCAGGTCAAATTAAATCAAAACGATGAAAGTCTCAAGGTCAAATCAGAACTTTAAAAGTCTCAAGGTCGCAAGGGCAGATCAGAACAAGGTTGTCTTAAAATCAAAATGAAGCATTAAAAGTCGAAAGGTCAGATTAGAACAAGGAATGTCTCATAATCTGATCAGAACAATGAGAGGAGCTCAGTGCCAAATTTGAATCAAATTTAATTTTTTGGCAAATTTGAAGTAATTTGTATGACAATACACACTTATAAGATCGTCACAAATCCAAAGGCTCGAAAATAGGTCGTAAACTGATTGCATTTATGTAACAATTGTTTTCCTGATATATATATATAATAAGTGTATTTGTTAACAGTGGATGGCACAGAGAAGGATACAGAGTCTGCGGCCAACTGTCTGTGGCTAGTCACAAATTCCAAGCCCTGTCCCAACTGTAAATCTCCTATTCAGAAAAACGAGGGCTGTAACCACATGAAGTGTTCTAAGGTATGGACTCGAAGGGAAAAAATGAAAAAATCAGGATAGGTATTGGACAGTGCTACATTTTGTAGGATCACTATACATTGAACTGCCTCCCTTGCATATCAGCCATTATTTTGAGATATATGATATAATATTTCCTTATTGTATGGTCTGTAGGTAATTTTCAGTGATCACCCTGAGTAACCATTTTGAACTAGACCTGCAGGTGAGGATCCAACTGAATGTAAGGGATCAATTCTCATTCATTATGGAAATAACTTTGAATAGACCTGTATTACATATATAGTGTCACAGAGGTAACTGTTGGGTTTGTCGTCATAGAAACTGGTTGCATCAGTATTCTGGTTTAAACTCTTTATTACTCAGAACTGAAGACAGCTTTATGACAGAGTACCACTATATGTTATGAAACCTGTAATGGAACCCAAAAACATGTGTTGTGTATACATAGTCTATACTGGTTTTAGGGGAGTATATGTGGATGTGCATGAAAAAAGGAACTTGCAATTTGACTGTTTTTCCTGGAGTTATGGTCCTTGAAACCTTCTGCTCCAGAAACCTTAGATTTATAAGAATGATTAAAGATTGTGATTTATAAAAAAGTAATGTTTCTGTTGAAAGTTACACTAATTTTAAATACAGCTTTTAAAAGGAGAAATTTCAACATCCATCAGTCTATATTTCATACACACATGTGATTGGCTGTTTGTTGTTTGCTTCAGACTCGGTGTTAGTATATTTACATGTATTTTAGTAAACATTTGATCTTTGTTTGTTTCAGTGTAAATTTGACTTTTGCTGGGTGTGTTTGGATCAGTGGAAGCGCCACAACTCGAGTACGGGCGGATACTTTAAGTGTAACCGGTACGAGGTATCAAAGATCGTGGAGGATCACGCCAACATGGCGCAATCAGATGTGAGTAGGACGTTTACATATATATATAACACATGACATGTGTTGTTTAAAGGTAGACATCACATGACATGTTGTTATAAAGGTAGATAATACATGACATGTGTTGTTATATAGGTAGACATCACATGACATGTTGTTATAAAGGTAGATAATACATGACATGTTGTTATATAGGTAGATAATACATGACATGTGTTGTTATATAGGTAGATAACACATGACATTTGTTGTTATATAGGTAGATAACACATGACATGTGTTGTTATATTGGTAGACAACACATGACATGAAAATAGTTTTTTCTTTGGCCTTTTGGGGTCAAATTTCTATCCCATTTGCAATTAAAAATGTTGCTTTTTCTGATCATGAAAAAAAATTGTTTTTAGTCTTTAAGATAATACTTTTTTATTTGCGTTATTTGGATATAATTCCAAAAGCTTCCCATGATGCATTTTACCCAATTCCAAAGCCACTGGCCCTATTCAAAATTTTGAGCAGAAGCCCTTTCAGAAAATACTCAAATAAAGTAGTCAGAGTATGATAGGTATCCCAATGCATGACAATATCTGAGGGAAATAATTGAAGAAAATCCAAAGCCTCATGGACTCTAGTTAGAATAATTAGATCAAAATATTTCTAGAATTAAAAAATATGTATATATACGTATTTCTCAAATGCAGCTTTGGATCAATTAATTACATGTATGTAGCTAATATCTTCAGTAAGATTCATCAGTTTGGAAATATGTAATAACAAAGTGTTCCTTTATAACAAACAATGTACATATTAACCGTGTCGCAACATCACAGCTGGACAAAGGGACCAGTCGGTCTTGAAATGTTATGACACATTTAATATGTATATTGTTTGTGTATAAAAGTAACACTTTGTTAATATGGTAGCTACCTACATACTAAAATGTTTGGAGGTTTTTGTGCGATTCTTATCTGCTCCCATTATTAAAATATTGGTTGACCTCAATAAACTTTCTAGAACCTACCTAGTGAATTTAGGTTTGCTCGATGAATGTTTTTGTCCGTAGTAAAAGTATCATTTTGTATTTTATGGATTTTTTTTCTGTAAAAAATATTCATTTGTATTTTAGTGGATTTTATGAATGCTGAAGATTGAGTTTGTTGGGAAAATAAAGTTTAGAATTGTGTCTTTTAGTTTAAACAGAACACACTAGTTTCATAGTAAAAGATTTATATGTTTGACTTAATTCATATTAACTGAGATGAAATGTATTATGAGAGCAAATGTTGATGTGGACAATCAGTGTATTGAGATGTGTTGTTTGTGTAAACTACCAGGTAATGAAAGACTTGTCATGTTTAACAGGCGGAGGAAAAAAACAAGAGAATGCAGGAAATCAACAAATTTGTCCATTATTACACTCGTTTTAAGAACCACGAAAACAGCTACAAGGTGAGTCACATACTTGTCTCTCAAACTTGAAATGTTTACATAATATAATTAAAACAGAAATTTAGCTTTCGAAAAATGTCTTTGACACTTGAGCAAGATATATATAATCTTCTCTTTAAGAACGGATTGCGATGTTTACTCAAGAGCTAAGAGTTTTGTAAACTCTGAGCTGCTCACCCTAAATTTATAAGTTCTACTGTTATAACACTTTCAATGCCTTGTCCTTTTTTTTCAGTTCTTGAAAAAAGTCCCCAGCTGATCTGAATAGAACCATGAACTAAAAAAAACTAGTTATTTGAATGAAACTACAATAATAAAGACCTGAATTAGATTGGTTATTATTTAATACGCTGTGTTACAGGTATGACAATTATTTGTTTCTGTCGACAGTTTGAAGAACCTCTCACCAGTTCAACTAAGACGAAGATGATGAAATTGGCGGAGGCTGTAACAGACCCTGGTAAGAAAGGAGTTGGAGAACGTGTTTTGTTTGTTTTGGGAGTTCACAGAAAGGTTGCATGAGTTACCTAGACTGTGTTTAGAGGGAAAAAAACGTTTAAAAATGATCACAAACGCTCCAATTTTATAATCCCAATTAAAAACACAGTTTTGGCTTCGTGTATTGGTATTGTAGAGGTAACAATAAAACATAGCAAGTCCTTTTGGCTCAAAGAAATGGAATTTTCTAAAGCCAAACTTGTTTTAAACGTTATTTGATAATCATGAGACAATTCTGAAGGCTGCTAATTTGATTTCATTATGAGTATGTTTTACAAAGTATAGTATTTTTAGATTGTGAACTTTGATGGAAATATAAGTTGGTTTTAGATGCTTGGTATATATACAATCATAATTAAGCTTCCTCCATTTTTTGGCAAATAGACAATTATCTTTGCTTCTATTATAATATCCAGTGTAAAGTCAGATTTGTTTCATTCATAAAACCATGTCGACAATTAAACTCATTTACCCCTGAAGTAGTGAAGACACAATTGAACTCTTCCAAGTCAAAGGTAGGAATAGTTCATTATGACATATCAGGGATGAATGAGTTAAAAGCAAATGTGATTTCTGTTGATGTGTAGCCACAGCCAATGCAGAGACCAAGTTTGTGGAGGAAGCTGTGGAGCAGCTACTGAAAGCTCGGCGTGTGCTCAAGTGTTCCTACTCTTACGGGTACTATCTGGACGGTCCAGGCTACAAAAAGATGGTTTTTGAATTTATGCAGGTAATTACTACAAACTGGTAATTCATTGTAAACACAGTTACTGTGAAATGTCAACATGAACAATTGTTTACTGTAAACAGGTAAAGACTTTATCATAGAGGAATGTTATTTACAGGTGTTCATCATAAACAGGTTATTATTATTGCAAACAGGTGTTCACTCTAAACAGGTAATCAGGCCAAAAAAACCCATATGTGTGTTTCCTGTTTCTGCTTGAAAAAATATATATATAGCAGGAGTTCTGACTTTAACAGTGTTTATCGCTAAATGCCAATAAAAAGTTGAGGGTAAGCATGAAAATCTAGGGTCGGTAGGGAAACCGGAAACACATTTAAAACAAATATTTTTGGCCTCACTATAAAGAGATTTTGAATGGGAAATGCCTTATATTGGCTTAAATTTCCTGTTGTCAAATCACTATGTATAGAAACAATTCAATACGCTGAATTGCAATTGAAAAATATTTCAGTCGCGAAAGTCTTAAGTGTAATTGTAATATTTTCACCCTGCAAAGTTTTCACAGATGGAATGATATGTAATATTTATGAAGCTAGCTATAGAAAAACTGTTTGATCGCTGTGCCTTTCTATGATAACATTTTGAAATGAAATGTAGTATTTATGAAGCTGTAGAAAACTGTGTTTGATCGCTGTGCCTTGTTTCTGTTATAACAGACAGAGCTGGAGGAATGCGGTGAGATTCTGTCACAGATGGTCAACAGGCTGTATTTGAGGACGCCCAGGAAACGCATCATAGAACAAGCTCATGTAGTCCAGAGGAAGCGTCACGAGTTCATCGTGGCCATATCCAAAGGTCTGGTACCACCGGAGACGCCACCCGCTCTCAGGAAACACAGGAGACGTAGATACAGCATGGACTACGAGGATGTAAGTCGTTTACAATGTCTGTCCTGGATGCTGCCGATTTGTGATGAGGGACCTTGTATTGTAGTTCTAAACCACTGAAATATTTAATATTGCCTTTTGATATTACCAAATAGCACACATACACTTATACTAAATTCTAAGTTGATGGTACTCTCTGTTTTGACATCCTATGACGTTGCTAAGGCGGTTCACATATGTTACTGTATATAGGGACATTTTCACTGCAGTTCAATTTTCACCTTTTTTCAACGTTTGTAATGAGGGGAATTTATCATTACAGCGAACATTTGCAAACAACATATTATATAAATAGTAATAACGGAAAGGGTAAATTTGATATTGGACGAGAGTGGATTTTACTGCCGAAGGGGGAAAATTTGACCGGTGGCAAATGTCCTGGAATACAGTATGATAAATTCAATGACATCCTAGATTAAGATGTTATAATACTATCTTCAACACAGTCTAAATTATCTGTTTGAAGAAATGGAAGCGCTTAAGATGTTTTGTTGAGAAGATATTCATTTGTAATTATATTTTGGTCTGTAAGGATCATTCTGTTACTGTTATAAAATATCAAACATTAATTTTAAAATTCTCAGGAATCTAATTCAAACTGTAAAGAGTTACTATATTTAATTTGAAAAGGACCCCCAGTTATAAGATACCAAGCACATATGCTGTTAACTGTATTTATACAAATATCATATTCAGCAATAAGGAGACTTTGTGTGGTCACAAGAAAGTTCACATGTGCAAATGTGTGAGAGGTGTGTTAGGGGGGGTTAACCCAGTTGCTCAAATGTTGGTGAACGTTTACCAGTCATTAGTGAAAAGTTCAAATTGTTGCCACTGAAAAACAATGGCTTTCAAACCAGAATTATCCCTCAGAACACACCAATCTGATCTGTCTCATCAAATCTATAGCAGTGAAATGATATCAGAATTTCTGAACTTAGTTGTTATACATATTGGTTGACTCTAACCAATCTTTGAACAATGAGGGCCTGGTGTTTCAGCCATCTAAGCCTTGAACAGTTTAAAAAACAGTACTGGTATATGGACAAGTTTAAGGTTGTTTGGTGTCTATGTTTTATCAGATGTTGATATTTTAACAATTGTATTCTGAAGGAGGAATTGCGGAAGGCCATACTAGCCTCGATACAAGATGTTGACCCAGCCAATCCCTGGATAAAGGATGCTTCTGGTCGCCATACCAACGTGATGGCTGTCCTAGACTGGCCGGACAGTGATGACTCGGACAGCGATACACAGACAACTCAGAGACAACCAGGTAAGTAGGTTCACAGACAACTCAGAGACAACCAGGTGAGTAGGTTCACAGACAACGAGGAGACAACAACTAGATATAGGTGAGTAGGTTCACTGACAATTCAGAGGCAACCAGGTGAGTAGATTCACAGACAACGCGGAGACAACCAGGTGAGTAGGTTCACAGACAACGAGGAGACAACCAGGTGAGGAGGTTCACAGACAACGAGGAGACAACAACTAGATATAGGTGAGTAGGTTCACTGACAATTCAGAGACAACCAGGTGAGTAGATTCACAGACAACGAGGAGACAACCAGGTGAGTAGGTTCAGAGACAACGAGGAGACAACCAGGTGGGTAGGTTCACAGACAACGAGGAGACAACAAGGTGAGTAGGTTCACAGACAACGAAGAGACAATAAGGCAAGTTGGCTCTCTGACAACGAAACAAGTCGGGTACAACTGGATTAGGAGGGTTCTCCAGTTTGTTTGCTTGGTACTAACATGTGCATATGATGGTTTTCTGAAGCAAGGGGTCACCCATGTGCTGAATTGATAATTAAGAAGATATCTGAGTGACCATGATCAAAAGTAACTTTAAAAGGGTAGATATTCTATCTGTAAATAGAAGCATGTATGAGACTCATTAAAATATTATGAATATAATGTGAATTTGTGGTTATTTTCACTGAAAATGTATCCCTGTTTCTCTTGTTAATTGACATCTTTTCGTGTGTTGGAGTCCTGAAACTTTGTAGGGATGCCAGCCATTCAAAATAACGTTTTGAATCACTTTAGTCTGATGTCTGTCCTTCAATCCCATGGTGATTTCATGCCGATATAATGACAACACATGTTGATAGTGGCATGTTATACTGAGTCGGGTCTTATTTCCAAAGAATAGGATATTGCATATCAATGCATAGCGGTCTTCAATGGAGGGAGTAAAGATATGTGTTTCGAACTATGTAATTCAATAAAATAACAAACATGCTGATCAACTTATAACATAGAAAATATGCAATATCCCTCTACAAATAGATTATAGACAAATTCACAACTCATAATTGTATCCAATGAATTGTAACCATTAAAAAACAAAGTGGCTATGTTTGAGATATCTTCCAAACTTATCCCTAGTTGTTAAATATTATTAAAGGAGACTTAAATGAAGTTCATGTATAAGTACATTACATTAAATTGATTCAGTATATGGCTCTTGAAACATGTTGGTTGATTGCAGATAAATGTGCTAGAGAAGGTTGCAACAAATTGGAGGCCAAGAACCCGCGGACAGGAGAATGGCACCAGTACTGCAGTCGCCAGTGTATGAGTGCCGCTGCTGTGGAGAACACAGACCATTCAGGTAACTGAACCGTCTTCCATTCACCGGTTTAGGTGTCTCCCCTGTATACACTGCTGTCTCCTATACTGACCAATCACTGACAATCAGTACTCCAACAATGTTAGAGGTTTTACACGGCGAAAAACTTTTGACAGGCGCCGCGTAACCTCTAACTTCCCATAGCTGATTTTCCCGATGCTGACGATCACATTTTCAAAGTTCGGATTAAGAAAGAGTATATCGTTTTTACATACATTTAAATGGTCAAAAGGGTCCAATAAATATTCCTTTCCATAAATCCATGATTATATGAGAATAACTTCGTGTCAAAGACATAAATAATGAGTTTTTCCTCATTCGAAGCGAAGCAGACAGCATTTGCAATGATTTTTCCGGTTAATACAAAAATGGATTACATGTAATGTTTCAAACGTGGAATACAAACAAACTCCGTATCATTTCGTTCCGTTTGAAATCCCCTCTGCTATTTTGTATTAGTACAGGAAGCCATGTTTTAAATGTAGGTCAGAGATGTGCTACAACGACATGGACATGTATTTTGAGTGTTCTATTCCGTAATATAATATATATTTGTGTCTGTGACATACATATGAGATCTATATTATATAAACCGGGAGTAGACATCGTTGTCATGAACTGTCAACCACTAAAGTGAGTTTTTCAAGCCGATTTTGTTCCGCCCGGATTTCGGGCGGAAATTGCATCAAAGAATTAGTGCTTCGGAAATGTGAGGTGGCAGTCGGCAAAATCATATCCGATAGAAAAAACGCCGACCAGCGGCCTCTCATGTTATGGGAGTATGACAATCGGGTGTCTTCTCAAGCAGGGCTTGAAATTAATTTTGAACACCATTAGTCAATGGGGGTAGTTGTTTCCAAGTTTTACTATTATCCATGTTCAGATATTAAGATAAGTAATATCTGTGTCTAATCCAAGGAAGATAATGCCCCTTATTATCACATACCTGTATGTAATCTTACAATAGTTATACAACAATTTTCTGTTGATGTTTTCTGTCGGTTTGTATCACACATGTGTGAAACAAGATGTTGTATTTACCTACTAGCCAGAACTACTTTGTATGGGAATCCCCTTGTCATGGCGAAATGAAAAGTTCCCGGTATTTGCAAAAAAATATCAAAGTTTATAAAATCTTTGTATCGATCTCTACCAAATACGTAAGGAATGTGATAAACGCAAGACCACACACTTGTGTTTTTCTAACCTATCAGAAAGCACTCATTTATTGCGCGGACGTATATATATTTGTCCTCTCAATAACCTTGTACTTTCTGATTCGTTAGAAAAACACAAGTGTGTGGTCTTGCATATTTATACTTGGGGAAAACCACTCTTAGTGTTAAATATAATGATTGTTTACAGAGCCTGTTCAGGAGGCTATACTTGATGAACAGATGGATCTCCTAAGGGCATTGGAGATGTCCCGTCTTCAGTACCTCCGAGACCAGGGTATCATCGCAGACCTGTCCTCTACAACAGCTAGGTAAGATGGCACTATTGAAATGTTCTTATTAATGTACATGTCCTGTACTGAAAACCTGGTCGTGGGTGAGTGGTGGCTTGGCATAATTTGTATAGTTGTTCCATGTCATGGGTAAATCAAAAGGGGCTAAGAAGGCTTTACTATGTATAAAAAATAATTTTAAAGTGTTGAATATTTTTAATGATATCAATATGAAAAATGTCAGATCGTGCCTTNCCCCCCCCCCCCCCCCCCCCCCCATGTAGAGGGGAAGATTTTAAAAGTTCTAGTATCCATATTTGTAGCTTACTGGACTCCCCTGGAGCAGCGGAAGGAGGAAGCCCCATCCCTGGAGACGAGAGTGGCCTCCCTTCCCCACAGAAACAGAGCAAGACCCTTCCCGACATCACCCTGCTGCCTAAGTCTCCAAGGGCAAACGGTAAACAACCAACAGATAAAAAGGGGAAGTCGCCAAAACGGTCCAAGGATGAGGGATCACAGCCAGGAAAACTGAATAGTATGACTGCTATGGAGGAGCTAGACTTTGAGCTACAGAGAGTGCTAGAAATGTCAACCATTAGTCCTTCGGGTACGTATTATAGCAGTAAACATGAAATTCTATCACAGTCACCTGGGTTTCAACTTATGAAATCTTCAAAGAAGACACATTTCAAAGACGACAATCTCCCCCTGACCTGAGCACATCTGCAGTGAATTGAAATTTTGCACCAATGTATTTTTATGGTAGTCTTTAAGTTTTTAGATTCATTTGACAGCATCACCGGCTTACATTGTTTTCACAATTTGAAGTTCACATTTCATATATTTTGGCAACAAAATAACAAAATTCAATGTCTTACATTGTTTCTATTCCACATAAAATAAAATAAAATAATATGAAACAAATTTCACATGGCCTTAATGGAAGACTGTTTATTGCAACCTATGGATCAAGCGGTTTGAATCCTGTTAACAAAATAATGTAACAGGCTCCTTTAACAAAATAAACATATGGGGCAAAAATTGGTTTTCAACCTGATATACTTACCTGTTCAAAGGTACTCCTGAAATACAGATGAACATGTAAGCTTGTATATCTATTAATTAGTTTTTCATTAATTAAGATCAGTTATGATATAAGATATGAAAATATCACAAATAATAATTGAGACATTATTAAACAAGGAATATGAAGTACTTCCATCGCTCCTTATGCAAATTGATAAGTCTTGATGTATCCTTATTTATGAATTCTGACTGTCCATCCTAAAATGTTGTCTGGGCCATATCTTCTGTACTATTTTACCTAGAGTAACCAGATCTTGTATACAAGTATGTCTTTGGATGGAGGAATGTCAAGTACGAAAAACGGGTCATTATGACCTATAATTTAACCTTTGAACTCAACCTTTGAAAGTTTGTCTGGCGCTTGGGTAATAAAGAAAATCATGACTGGTGGGGTACTATGGATTGCCTTGCAGTACTTTACCTTGTTACAAACATTATTTAGTTCAAATATGTGTTTGATTGCCTTTCTTTCTTTCTTAAAGGTAACAGATGCAATTGATTTACTTTTAAATTTCAATAGGAGGTGCTAAAAGTGATAATCAAAGTACATGTATAAGTATTTTCTAAAAGGTGCTGAAATCTAAGAATTTTGATTTTTGTTATATACATCTTCGTTCTATTGGGGTTTCTGTTTGAAGTGATTTCTTTCTTTCTTTCGCAGATTTGTCTCCAGATGCCAAATTAATGTTGCCCAAAAGTGCCACACTACCAGCCCCTGTGTCACCACAACAACCGCGTCACACTACCCCTCAGGAGTTGCTGTCTCCCTATTCCCAACACCGTCGTAGGAAGAGTCAGGGTCGTTTTGATGAGACCACGTCCACAGTGGTTAGTCGAGTCCCAAACAAGAGTGTGGAAGACCTGCTCCATGATGACTGTAGCATTGGATGTAGGGCCCCTCCCCCTTCTCTGTCTACACTGTCATCTGAGTCGGATTCTCCTGGTGAATGTATTGGGACGATACCCGCTCTGTATACAACTCCAGGTCTGTCGAGTCAATCGCCGATCACACCATCCCCGCCCACGAGCACATACCAACAACAGCAGCCCAATCAGTCCCCAGGCTGCTTCGGTATAATTAAGGACTTGTCTGTGTCCAACATCAACACGGGCGAGGCAGATAAGACACGCGACTTTCAAGGGAAAAACTTGAGTTTGTTTCGGGACCAAAAGCAGGAAAGGCCATCACTGAGAGGAATACTGGCGGCTAACACTCCAGGTGAAGATGAGGACAATGTTTTTGTTCTTGTCAGCCCCGACAGTTTACAGACCAGTCAACAACAGTCCTGGGCCTATCCTGCAAACTTCTCCACAAGTGCTAATAATAAACACCAAAGTCAACCCACAGGAGGGGTCAGAGGTCAAGAATCCACACCGTCGTGGGAGATGACCTCCTCAACATCGAGTCTAAAAGGAGAGACAAAAGTACTCACGTCACTTTACGATCACACAAAAGGCTCCGCGGGGTCTGATGACCCTGGAGAAATGTCCCTCTCTCAGATGGCGGAGAACCTTGTCCATATTTCTGCGGAGATGAAGCGGATGGTCGAGGACCACATTACTGATACAACGGATTCTAACCCAGATTCTTCCCTAGAGGAGGTTGGTGCTACTCCCGAACGACCTCTGGAGCTAGACTTTGACAACTTGGATGAACTCCTACCCACAAGCTCCCTACAGCAGTATGTAGGTACACACCTGGACAGCCCTGACTCACTGACAGATCCATTTGAAAATTGTGATACATATCAACCGCAATCCTTTGTGCATAATACAGTAGACGAGGACAAGGAAGAATCAATACAGCACTTTATGGACAATGTTGATGATGACACGGCGGGAACAAGCCAGCCTCGCCTGTTCTCATCACGAGCAAGAGATACAGACAAAGGCTTCCTACCGACAGAGATAACGTATAATTCACAAATACAAAGTGCCAATGGAAGTAAAGATGGAGCCCCAGATAGGTCGTGTGCTCCATTGCAAGTAACTGACTTGGAAACACCAGAAATCAATGTAGACCACCAAAGACCTAGAGTAGGTCCCCGGGAAACACTCATTGATTTCCGACTCGGACAAAGCGACTTTGATGCTGGTCCTTCAGAGCAACGTCCGAGTCAGACCCAAAGCCATCGGAGTCGTCCACGGAGAATAGAAACTGTGTTTGGTGTGGACGATGTGGTCACCGCTGCAGAGGGTCCCACACCGGTTGTGGAGCTCGACTTGACTGTGGAGTCTGGGCCTGCAAACTTGGGTCGGACACGAGGTAGTGGGGATGATAGCTCACATGCAGATTCATTCTTTGTGTGAAATTTTATACACATATAATATATTATATATTTATACTTGATATTTATAACTGTTTTCCACAGGTGAAACAAAGCAATATTCTGAGATAGTTGAATTTTCTTTAGGAAGAAAAAGGTTGAATCTAGCTTAAAAACTGATGTATTGTATGTTCATACAGTAACATATATATACATGATAAGAAATCATTGGTTATGAACAAAACATTGTCAATGGGATGATAGGAAAACTGTCTATCGTATAGGTTCTAAGAATTGCCCATATTCTATTAAATGTCATTGCTCTCAGTTTAAGATAAAATGTTGATATGTAAAACAATTTTTTTACCAGTTTTCTAAATTTTCAAAAACTGTTGAATAATCACTCATCCCATTCTCCAAAAATTTTCTTCCTTGCCATAGTCAAGCTGCAGTGTTGGTGATTATTTTACTGTACAATGTCCTTTCCTTACTGTTTTTAAATAGTACTCATGGCTTCCACCATTCTATCGCTTCTCAGCTTCTTTTTGAAGCTTGTCATCACACTCAATTGAATACATCTTTGATGATTCAATCACTGAAATGATCTTGATTTCATCATCAACTTTTGTGATTTTCCTTAAGAGACTTGGATCAAGATGGAGGAAACAGGAAAATGATGTATTTTTATAGACGATGATTGTTCCCTATTAGTGTTTCCATTCCAATAATTGCGTACCCCATTCTTCATTTACCTCTGTGATCAAATAAGTAGCTGGGCAATTATTAGAACCAGTGCGGTATAGTTTTCTGATGCAATAGGTAGAAAGGGGATTTTTTTTAACAGACATATTTTGTTTGCAATGTATTATTTTATTCAAATTGGTAACTATTAACTCTTTTTTTATTTTGAATATTACATTTTGTTTAATTAGATAAGTTCTAATTAAGCAGAATCTTGTAATCATTTTAAAAAAAGGTGCCAGAAAGTAGTTTGTTTGAGTGTTGGAAATAGTGTGGGGCCAAGGATTGGCAATGTGCCAAATGTGAGGAGAATTTAATTTATATGTGAGCAAATTTCAGCTTGTTTGAAGTACATTACTTGCAGATTGTAGTTCTTAAGATATTACGAAAAAATCATGCAGTAGTTCATTTTTAAATTTAACTTTTTATTTTTTGTTTCATTTTAAAAGCAGTGTAATATATAAGGATCACATGAAAAATATGTCTAGTTTTTGAGAAAAGATTTGTGGATATTATGTTGAAATTAATCACTATGATTTTGTACTAATATATTGCTGCTTTAAGCTGTATTAAACTTGAAGCTATCATGAAAGGATTTTCCATTTTTCCATTGTTGTTAGGGGGAAAAAACGGTTTACTTTCAGTATATTGATCCTTAGTGTATTTCTTTTTAGAGAACTGCATATTTAAATCAATCAATGCTTTTTAACTCTTCATTTAAAATACTTTGAAAAAGGTAGTGCATACAGATGTACAAGCTGTATCTGATCAAGACTCGAAAGCCCAGCCTACACAAGATGAAACAATGTTGAGATATGGTGCAATTTATTCATAAGCACATGTAAAGGCAGTGAATCATTGTACATTATATACCATAATCTTCATCCTCGAAATTTAAGGGGTTACGCTCCCTTAGGTTTTCTTTGTCCCTGGAATATGTCATGACAAAATTGAAGGTACCGGTGCACAGTAAGCTATTTGAATGGTTTACAGTGAGAACAAAACTGATTTTGATTTAAACATATTTTATTTGCAAAAATACAAAAGGGATTAGACATAAAACTTAAAGTTTGCCTTCTCCCTTAAAACAATAATGATGAAACATACATATGGCTGCACAGTAGAAAATATTGATGACTATAAATTTAGATGATTCAAAGGAAAACATGAATAAGATAAAATGCACAATATACAAATCTTATAGATTATCTTTGTATTGAATGTTCATTAACCTGTATGTAATATAAACATGCTGTAACATCACTATAAACAATCTAAAGTTTATATTTTCATATTGAAACTTCTGTCAATGATACATATCATATAGTCACTAAAACAATATAAAACGTAACAATTTAGAATTAGCTCTGAAATCAACTTGCATGTGTCAACACCGTAGCAGCTTGAAAACTGCATCACACAATGGTCACATCCTTGAAACTTTCTTTAAAAGGCACCGCACCAAAACTGATCATTCACTTTACTAGGCTAACCTCTGAGGATGACACATGAGTGGCGTCCATACTTCAAAGCCAGTAAATTTTACCATCACCTTTCCACATGTTTCTTTCAATGTTCATGATCATATTCCAGGGGGAGCAGGTTTGTTTTGAATACTCAAATGAAGTTAAAAATTTGTTTTGTTTATTTCTTACCAATTTGTGTGTAGTCCTATGATGGTTTTGAAAACTGCATCAATACAAAAGGTTATTTGATTTTGTTGTGCATGTGTTCGCAAGTAGGTTTTTAACATACAATTTATGAATCACATACAGGAATGACAAATTCCAGGTAAACGTGTGGTTTGGTTGATGAATATATAGTTCATTCTCATCCTGTGAGGAAATCTTTGATGATTTGTTTCCTGTACTGGTGAAGAGGCTTCTCGAAATCTTGACTCTTTTTCTCCTGTGGAAATATATTTATTTACTGCTATGAAATTCAAATGCTTCAATCATTCATTTTCTATAGGATTGCTGTTGTTTCAGTGCAGGACTATGTGAAAGTTCAGCAGTTCCATGAGAAATGTATAGATGACATAGATATTTACATGTTAGTTAAAAGTCTGTTTTATGAAACAGAACTACCTGCAGCCAAATGCTTAATTTGAAAAAAAAAAATCCTGTAAAATCCTGTAAAATTCTTTCAATTTTTGTTTAGATTATAGTTATAGCTATTTTTATGACAAATGTATGAGATAAAATTTAAGGATTTCTTTAGATTTTAAGCTTGGAGAGACAAAGTCTTCTTTTCTTTAAATCGTTATGTTACATGTAACTTCGATTTTTTTTTCTTGTAAACGCAATATTGTATAATGATAGCTCAAATTATCATCAAACTTATTTCATATTGATGGTGGTTCGACTGCGATCTTCACATAGTCCTGTAATGTGATAATCAATGATAGAATATGTAATCATGATATGTTACCATGGTCTTTGTCATATGTCATACAGTTGTTTTTGCCTTTTGCCAACAGAATAGCCATGTCCCTAGTGCATTGCTGGGAAGGGAGATAACTCCCAGTAATGAAGGGAGATAACTCTCGGTAATGAAGGGAGATAACTTTCTGTAAATTAAATGGAAATAATGTATTTTCCCGTGTGTATGTCTGTCTCAGAGTTTCTGTAAATGTACGTCTGTTAATGGTTATTTTTATGAAGCTCTATAATTGCCTGTAGTACCGTCATTACTGACGATTCAAAAGGTGAATATTCATGGAAATTCTTGACTGTTTGAAGTTTTAAACTTATGTGTTGTGGTATTATTCCCTTAATAAATCTGTTTTCGTTATGTAATAAACCTAATTGCACTGGTGATAAGTCAATGGTTAAACCCTTATCATATTTTTAACAGCTATTTTTCAGATGAGTGTCAAATCTGGATAAATATCCTTGATACAATATAGGGTACAGTAAGATAGAGCGAAGTTTTCATTTCATCTTTTTATTTCTTAAGATACACCAGACTCCTAGGGCTTATTGCAGTCTCTGCTTGGGTTCTTTGTGATAGAATCTGACCTAAGGAGAGATTGGGATATCGCAAGTGAAACACGATAGTGCATGTACTCATATTCTAGGTATATATGCAAACTGTATTTACATGTGTTGATATGTTTGCAAAAATATCATAGCATTTGGATATGTGTGCTTATCCTTCAGTGCATTTTGCTACATATGCTAAATTTTGTGGAAATGTCTGTTTATAAGTAATAGCTGTGATAAGCATGCTGATACCACGAAACAAGTTAACTGTTCTAGTTACTACAGTTATCGCACTGTAATGTTTTACATACTTTATCAACCTCAGTTGGAAAGTTACTAAAATTAATTTGTTACAACTTTCATGTTTCAGTTATTGAGAGGGGGGAAAAACGACTACTAAATCAGCCTCAGTTGGAAAAGTTACTACAATCAGACCTTTTGTCAGAATTTCTGTGGTTCATTTAGAAATAAAGAAAAATTCCTTTTGCGTACAGTTTTAAAAAATTCATAATAGAACATACTTGGAACAATATTCAATGCCTATCGGATCATAGGCATGTCCTGTTTTTTGGGTGTTTTTTTTCGTGTTACCATACAGAGAAACTGTTTTAAGATATTTTTTACATATTTATTACAATATTTGTTTAATTAGGACCCATACTTCAATGTGCTATATAGAATCACTTTGATTATATTCTGTATAGTAATATGACTAGTTTGTTGTAACGAAACAGTATTACCACATCTGCGCTATAAAGCATAATTTTTTTCAGTACAAGAAAATATAGAAGTTAATATAAGATCATTTTTTATCCATAAAGATAATATCACATTATCAAATATAATCCAGTTTTTATCAAAATAAATTGTTGGGAGGCCAATATTGCAGAGAAATGAACAACATTAGTGCTACAATTTCAGACAGATTTAATAAACTGGCCAAAGGTCCTTTGAAAGGGTGTTATTTCTGTCTCTCAGACAAAAGTTGGGGGAATGAGGGACACTTACAACAGTCCATATGTTACTAATTATAGTACATTGCAATGTGAGGTAACAGTTCAAAGAAATGTAATTTTACTAGGAATTAGAAAAAACTAACGTCCTAGTGTTAGATTATGATGTAATAACATCAAAAAATTTAAATGTCATACCTATATAGTAAACTTTAAATACATGTACATGATATATGGCTTGATAAGCATGACAATTTAACAATTTTATAGGTAGTAATTCTGGAATCAAATCATTCATTCTTCAATGAGAAAGCTAGACTTAAGAATCAATACTAATATAACAGAGTCACTTGGTTGTGGGAAACGTTAGCATTCAATAGTGTGAAGCAATAGATTCAGGTTGAAAAGTTAGCAAAGTAGTACCGTATAAGGTTGAAAAGTTAGCAAAGTAGTACTGCATGAGGTTGAAAAGTTAGCAAAGTAGTACTGTATGAGGTTGAATGGTGAACAAAATAGTGTTAATCATATACACAGTATGATTCAAGTTCTCTCAAAAGGCCAAGTTTCTTTCATCAATTGTATTTATGCTGACAAAATTGTACATAATGCATACCTTGTGAGTTGCAATTTCCACTGTGATAAAAGCTTTGTAGATTATTCTGTACCTTTTAAATGTGGGCACATGTTATTACAAGTTCTCCAGATAGGTGAAATATGAACCGTCTTCAAGATGAAACCATTGCTTTTTCAAAATTCTTCCATCTTTTTTAATCCAGAGTCGCCTCGCCCGATACAAGTTTCTTTTAGACCCATTATTTTTCAGTATTAGGTCACTAACAAACTGTGTAACGAATTTATCCCGTCGAAGGCCCTTTGGATAAAAAAAACTGCAAAATAATACGCACGTCCATATAAAAATGGCAAAGAACTTCCGCAAGTCTCACCTCATCAAATGACTCGAATGCGGTATCTTGGCACATTTCTGTCAGATATTCCGTTAAAATTCTCGCCGACTTTTGATTAGCCTTGTTAGTGTTGTCAGCATTTACTTTCACCCGCTTTGTTAACATTTCAATGGCTGTCGTCTGCACAAACCGCTTGGTCGCCATCTTGTTACAAGTTGACTCTTATGGGCAAAGAACGATAACTCTTTCATACTCACCTAATGTGAGATTCTACTGACCTAATATGAAAATATACTGGATATCATGTGACATCTTTTTAACCAATAGGACTACAGGATTTTTGCCTGAGGCGGGATAATAATACATATGCACTCAAAAAAGGTAAATGTAGATATCATAATAAAGATTGATTTTATTAACTGCCAACCTTGTATATTGGATTAAGTTCAGTAATGTAATAGAATATCCCAAAGAAGAATGGTGTAATTAAAAATATTCTGTACCTGATCGTGGCCCCAGTTTTGACTTAACTTAAAGAAACAGAAGTTGTTTTTCATAGGTTTAGGAATGCATTATTGGGACTTGAGTAAAAAGTAATTTGAGGACTTTTTAGCCCACCGTCATCTGATGGTGGGCTATTCAAAATCACCCTTTGTCCGTGGTCCGTCCGTTAACAATTCTTGTTATCGCTGTTTCTCAGAAAGTGCAGGAGTACTCAGTTTTTTTATATGAACTAGGACAGGGTTTTGTAGGTAAATACAGTAATATCTGTTTAAAAAGTAGTCGGGACTCTCTGAAAAAGATGTTTGCCGAACTCTGTGGAAAGGAAGTTTCACAAACAGCCTGGAAAGGATGAGCACAGATTCATTATTATCTTTGACAATAAGGCAGAATTTTGAATGTTATGGACATGAGTCACTGTGACTAGAGTTACTGTGAATGTATTAGCTGTCTGTGGATGTTGCGTTATACATAATTTGTATCAAATTATTATTATAAAGCTAGACCCAATTGTTTGAAGCTATATTTGCCTGGTATCGTTGTGAAATTTATTTGTTCACTTGATTGATGTGTTATTCAGTGACGACGCCCATGTCATATATTTTGCATATGAACTTGTGTTACACCACAACCTATCGTGATGTCATTGAATTATAATGAAATGGCATCACAGACTTCTAGATTACATTACCATGAAAATGGACAAACTCCTATGAGCGGAAATGTTCATTGGGCAGGGGTATTTGGAATTGTTGGACATTTTTGGCAGTTGTGATAGTTATGTAGTCTTCATATTCTCGGTAGTCTATTGATAAATACAATGTTCCTATGTGGATATTTTTTGCTGTAGTTTATACTCGATGTAAGAAAAGCAGGCATCACAGTGGACAATTTTTTAACTTAAACAGTTGCATACAAATTCAATCAACACAACCAAACAAGTGGCTTTACAAGTATGTTTTGTTGATAAGACAGGGGATACAAAAGTCATGTGACTGAAATTCATTTGATCATTTGCTCAACTAATGTATGTTGAATTACATGTTGAATTACATATTCTGAATAGTCAACTTTAACCTTATGTCATGGTGTTCCTTGTGACATTACATTTACAAATTGAAGGTATGTGATGGTGTTATAACACTGTAAAGCAGCCTGAGTATGTGATGGTGTTATAACACTGTAAAGCAGCCTGAGTATGTAATAGTGTTATACACTGTAGGCAGCCTGAGTATGTGATAGTGTTATAACACTGTATGTCAGCCTGAGTATGTGATAGTGTTATAACACTGTATAGCAGTCTGAGTATGTGATAGTGTTATAACACTGTAAAGCAGCCTGAGTATGTGATAGTGTTATAACACTGTA